AGACCTAGATTTGACACTCTACTGTGACCGTGGAGGCCATAATCTTGCTTATAGAGCTGCACAACTTTTATAGTTTTAGAGTGCAGATCTAAATCGTTGATAATAAATTAGGAATCCTTGCATGGTACAAAAGATAATTTATTTAGTTTGTGATAGTATGTTTTTCTAAACATATAGCAATTTACCACAAAAGTATGTACACTACATTCGTTTTTAAGGATACTAACATGCATAGCATTTTCTTAATTTTTTAGTGTTTTTGTTGGTTAACCTAATTTAATTGAGAATTGATACCTATTATATTTATGTATGTGTAATCATTTTAGTGTGCATTCAGTTCAAGGTGGGTTTGTAAAATGGTTTGATAGACAAAGGAAGATAAGGGAGTATCAAGACCAAGCTAAAGAGTGTGAGAGTGACTGAATAAAATATATAGTGAATGAAAACTGGAGATGAAAAGCTTTAGTAATAATACTAAAATGAAAATGTAAACGACTTTAAACTAATAAAGTGTCAGATTTAAAATGGACAAATTTTGTGTTTTATCGTTAACTTTTTATTTGGATGTTTTACTCCATGTAAGACTACAAGGATTTTTGGATGTAAGGATAGCAGGCTCTAAATGAAAGAGTCCAAACTCTGGGACAAAAAACACAAAAACATTTCATAATTTACATGCATACAAAGCATTAGATAGTTCATATTCAATACTCAACAAAACTAGGGTTAAAATAAATCAAGTGGAAATTATAGATTATACGATTATTTTTCCTTTATGGCCATATTTAAAAACTTATTACCAAAAACTATGTTCACTTTGAGTTGCAATATTACTGCCAGTCAACAGGTCTTTTAAAATTTAATTTGACCGCCATAAGTAAAATCAATAATTATAGTTACAATTAATTTTGAGTTTTTATCTTATTACAGGGTGTTAAAAAAGGTGATGACATTTATACGTAGTGATTCCTTGAGTGAAAATAAAGAGAAATTCAAGAATAACATTTTTCCAAAATCGCTTCGTTAACCAGGTATCCACCATTTTGTAATTTTTACATAAACATTTTGATTTTAGATTTTTTTCAACCATCTTTATGAAACTTGCTACGTATGTTGAGATAGAAGAAAATTGTCAGTTATTTCACCCAAAAAGAAGAAAAACCACTAGAAAAAAAATTATTTTTATAAATTTACAAACTTTTGATGGTAAAACACAAAATGCATATTATCGAAAAATAGTAACTTACAATCTTGCTGGCAATTTAATAAGCTTTCATTTTGTATATGACCATAATTAATTTTACTTGGACCCATAGTTTCCGAGATTTTTACAAAAAACTGAAAAATCGGACCATCAAGCGCCCCTCCCTCCACCACAGCACAAGGGCTAGAGGTAGGGATTTTTGGTACATTTACCTCCTAAATTGCGATAGCTAATCAAATCTAACTAATCAAAGTTACGAAGTCAGAAATCATGTTCCAAACATTTCCCTCTAACCTTTTCGTTGCCTGGACTATAGCCTACTAACGAAATTTAGTTTTTCCTACCAAAAAAAGGATTTGCGATTATGGAAAATGTGTAACTTTAAACTATTTATCCCAATATGTTTCATATTATCAAATTTTGTCGTAGATTTAATTTGTGTCAATATACAGTTTTAATGACAGTATGATGATTTGTACCATTTGAACTCATGTTAGTAAAATGTTTTTTTAAGATAAACCATCAATAGATTGTATGCGTTATAACCAGATAGATTGTATGCGTTTGTACCATGGGTTTGTACACATTGATAGTTTGTTTTTCATTATGTCTGTCCGTCGGTATACCATTTAATGTTGTAAAAGAAAATAAAAATTTTAACCAGATACTTAATTGTGCAATATTGATCTCTTAGAAAAACTGTTGAAGTTTGTTGTCACGATTAACCAAAATCAATTTATACTATACCATAGTTTTGTATTCATTAACCATAAACCATCCTAGAAATACTACCATAGACTATACAGGGTGATCAACTCAAGGAGGCCACCATTGGGATATCGGAAACGGTAAGAATTAGAGAAAACTTTAAATGGGGGACATTCCTTTATTTTTTGTGGCAGTTAAAAATATGATTTTATTTTTTCGAAATTCAGCCGCCATTTTCCAAAATGGTGGCCAACTTTGATATTTCTTACGGAACACCCTATATTTTATCATGTTTTCGGATAGAACAGGCAATTTAAAAACTTTTTTATTTTTGAAATTTTTCGATAAACCCACTCGTTTAGGAGTTACAGCCTATGGAAAAATGACTTCCGGTGTACATTTTACATCATGTAGCTCATAAAAAAGTAAGTTTATAGCAAAAATTCGAAAAGTAAATAAGTCAAATAAGTCTTAAAATTGCATCCACATTCCAAAAAGACCATAAAATACACAGTTTTCCACTTTCCAAGTTTGCCGCCATTTTGGAAAATGACCGCCATTTTTAAAATAATAGATTTAATATTTTTAGCGAATTTTATGGTCTTTTTGGAATGTGGATGCAATTTTAAGACTTGTTTGACTTATTTACTTTTCGAATTTTTGCTATAAACTTACTTTTTTATGAGCTACATGATGTAAAATGTACACCGGAAGTCATTTTTCCATAGGCTGTAACTCCTAAACGAGTGGGTTTATCGAAAAAATTCCAAGAATAAAAAAGTTTTTAAATTGCCTGTTCTATCCGAAAACATGATAAAATATAGGGTGTTCCGTAAGAAATATCAAAGTTGGCCACCATTTTGGAAAATGGCGGCTGAATTTCGAAAAAATAAAATCATATTTTTAACTGCCACAAAAAATAAAGGAATGTCCCCCATTTAAAGTTTTCTCTAATTCTTACCGTTTCCGATATCCCAATGGTGGCCTCCTTGAGTTGATCACCCTGTATAACACTATATATAGTCATAAGCACAAACATTCACTTTTGTAGCTGTCAAACACTAACTTATTGTCTTTGTAAATTGGTGTATTGCCGTTGGTAAATAAATAAAATAAATAGTGTTATATAATCAATGGTACTACCGTCTGGTTCAGAAAATTAGCTGGTGCTGGGCACTACTGAGGAGTATGTTTTATCTATGGCACTACCCAAATTCACTAGACAGTGAATTCGAAAAAAGCTAATTGTGTCTGAAAATGGAGGGCTGAGAAAATATATGGACCTGTTCATGATAACGAAATTAAGCACTTCAATCGTCAATTGAAATTGTATTCCAAATTCCAATTACTTTAGTTCCACAAGGTTGCTTCTTAGAAGACTAAGAATGAGGTAGAGAACCAGATTGACCAGCTCGCTCCCTAAATTAATTACCTTTATACAAGCAATGGTTTATAAATCGATGGGTAGTTTTATTTGGTTATTTAATTTATCATTTTAATCCGTTAAATAAATATAAGAAAAATATAGTATCGTAAATTGCTTTCTTCACTCAACTTTAAACATTAATCAGCGGTTAGATTCTCTTCGTTTCTGGTTTCTCCCGTCGGTACCGTACCGTCAGCTGTTGTTGTTTTGTTTCTCCTGCTCCTGTTCCTCGCGAGCCTTTCAAGACAGGAAAATGCCGCGCTTCTGCGCATGCGCTAGTAACTGGTGGCGTAACAGCAGCTATTTCAGAAAGTCACGGTCACTAACCACTAACTAGCGTCGTCGTCGTAATATTTATCTTGGCTGCACTGCAACTGCAACTAGTTTCTCATAATTATTATTCATATCGTTTGTTATTCTTTATGTTATGATCGAGTTATGTCTGAGTTGAAGTTGGGGTTAATGTTATTGATAGATTTTGATTGCTGCTGTGTTGCGGAGGTCATTTATTATCGATGATGTGCTCCTTCTTCAATGCGAAGATTCTGAGAAATACGAGTAATATGGAAGACATCAATAACACGTACTGGAGTACTTTGTAGTTTATGTGGAAAAGTTTATTTTTAGTTTGGACGAGAAGTACAGAAGGATTCCAATTAATAAGCCAGCTATGTTCAACAAGGCAAAGCCAATAAAATAATTTGTTTTATTCACTAGCGCTTTTGAATGGAAAACTTGTTTCTGAAAGCGCTAGTGAACAAAACAAATTATTATGTATTAGCGTTGTTGAACATTTACATTTTGTTATACATTTCATTGTAATCTTGCATTGTAAGATGCCAATAATTCTCAAAAAGCTTAGACCATTAAAAATGAAATGAGAATTGGGATCTTCACTTTTGGAAAACATGTTTGGGTACAATTGAAGATAGATGAATAGATGATAACGGTAACGTAGCCCACCCAAGTTACTTAAAATTTATTTTATAAAATAAAGGAGGTGCCAGAGGTTACAGTAAGTAAAGTAACACAAACTTTACATAAAATATTTAAGATATAAAATATTTACATAAAATATAAAATATATATTTATATATATATTATATTTATATAAAATATTTACATAAAAACACATACATAAACATAATCTGTAAAATTCTTCATTCAGTTAAGCTGGGTTTTCCTAGACGCGGAGTCGGCCAGAGGAGAGCGGACAACGGAGAGCGGAATTGAAATTAACATGGCATTCCGCTCCGCTGCTAGGAAAACAGTAACATTAAATTGCCTAAGACCAGCTGAGTCCGCTCTCCGCGTTCCTCTCTCCGCTGGCCGATTCCGCTGCTAGGAAAACCCAGCTTTACAGTAATTAAATGGTTTGGAGTTAAACGCAGGAGAACCGTTCCAGTTTCAAGTAGATTGTTGTGTTGCAAGAGTTGCCATCAGTGAAGATACTAGTGTGATTTTCTGAAACAGCTGCAGCTGTTACAAGTGCTACGAATAACGCTTACTTGCGCATGCGTAGACGCGCGGCATTTTCCGGTCTTGAAAGGCTCGCTGTTCGCCACTTGCTTCTTCTCTTCTCTACAACCTCATCAACGGGAGAGATTTATGCAAAGCAAACGCTACAATAACAAAACACTGTACTGTAACGTAACAGTAACACACAACATCACAACAACATAACCTGCTGACCTGACTGTTCTTCGTTCTTGTTAACTGTCGCTGTTATTCTCTACTAACTTGTGTGTTGTGTACTAACTGCCTATTTCGAAGACAATAATTTCAGGTTAGTTGACAACATCAAGAAATATGTACAAACTATTAAAATTAGCTGGACTTTCTCAAGTTGTCAGAAAAAGTACATGTAGGCCTAGGCCTATTTGCCACAGAAACATGCTAAGATTATCCGCTATTTCAAATAACTTTCAAGATTCTATTTCCTTATGCCAGGTGCTTCAGCTAAGTACTCTATCTTATCAAAATAAAAGGGTAGGCCTACTCAACATTTTGGGACTACACAGTAAGAAACTAATAAGTTAAATATTAATTTATGCATGATATGCTTGTATTTGTTTGAATTTTAACGCCTAAGTCAATAGCATCCCTCCAATCAAACTTTTGGCTCTTTTAAGCTTTATACCTAGAATAGCTATTTGTGTTTTTAAGAACGCAAAGTAACTTAGGCTATGTCTTTGCCGCTCAAGAACTGTAGATGGCAGCACGAAACTTAAGCTGAGTGTGGCCATAAATTTTGTGAGCAGCAATGACTGTTTTTGCTCTTAATAGCCTCCACACAAGATTTTTGAAACCACCGTAAGTTAACTTAACCCTTGAGCTGGCACTAGTGTAACGCTGTACTGGCATAGGGATATTATTGATTACTAGAAAACCCGTGCGGCTCAATGAGCCGCATAGTATGGAACATAACTCCGAGGAAAACGTTATGCTTAAATTAGAGTAATTCTAGTTACATCTTAGAGTTGTTTAAACGCTTGTTAGAAACTAATTTTAAATATCTCTATTTGGGTCGTAACAGGTTTACATACATTATTTCTGCTCTCAGTTTTAACTTGTAACTTCTAACGAATGCTAAACGATCTGCTTCAATTCGAGTTAACATATTCCAACAAAGTTTTTCCAGCATTGAGAATTAAAGAAAACTGTTGCCTTACTGATAGCCTGTGTTAAGTAATTTATGTTTGGGTCATATTATTTCTTTGATTTAAGACTTCCCTCTAATCAAATGAATTTTCTCCTTAGAGAATCCTGAAAAGTTGGGTGAGATCAACCATTTCATGTACTCCATGTTTTACCCACAAACTCTGGGTTACCTACTGGACAGCCATAATCTGCCAATAATAGGCTAAAGCAGCAACATAATTGAAAGTTGGTTAACGTATTTTTACGTGTTGTCTGTCAGTCACAGTATGTGTCCCGCATCAGAACGTTCTCACGTTGTTCAGTGGAATTCCTCTTTTAATACCTGCCCCAAAGTTTTGAAAGTATGGATTCATATGTCGAAATAGGTTGGATAACTCTTGTAGCTATAAAATTTGGATATGAATTTTCATTTTCTCTTTTTGAAAGGCGTATATTATTTGCCTCTTCTGAATCATAAAAATAAACTTGACCGATTCATATGTCGAAATAGGTTGGATAACTCTTGTAGCTATAAAATTTGGATATGAATTTTCATTTTCTCTTTTTGAAAAGCGTATATTATTTGCCTCTTCTGAATCATAAAAATAAACTTGACCGTAACTCCTCGATTGTTAAATACGGTAATACTAATTTCTTCAGTTATGGTTGGTCATAATATTGCCACTAAAACTTTCAATAGCAAATGAGTTTTTGAAACTTCTTATTTTTGACTTGAAATGTATGGATTGTGTTGGTGAATTCAGTCCAAAAACTTTGTATAAGTTTGTCCGATATACGGGCAACATAACATATAAGAAAACAACCCATTTGCGTTTTTTTCAATTAAAGTAGACCGAGTAAAACAAAAGTTTACAATAAAAACATAAGGTCCGCAAAGATTTGCCATAATGTTACTACTTGAACTTATCATAGTCAAGGCATTATTATAGTTTCTACTAAATGTTTGGAAATTTCTCGATCTGTCAGTGTCAGAAGTAAACATTTCTTGCATGCATTCATTTGATCTGTGATTAGGCAAGTTTACTTTACCACCGTGAAAACACTAGGTATGTGCTTCGTATATTGTTTCACTTCCAAAGTAAGTTGCATAGCACAACTGTCAAATATTATTCATCTCACCAAGTGAATTTGTATCTGGATGGACTATCTGTTAGACCAGGCCTCTCTTTTTCTACTCTCCTCATACGCATAAGATATCTTATTATTAATTGTCTCCTCCTCTCGTTTTCAATATTTCTTCTCTGAACTTGAGGCATTTTCTGTTCTTCCAACAAAACTAACTTGGTCTTAACCTATTGAATATTACAAACATTAATATTTACTCCCAAAAAGCTAATAAGTTTCTTTTTATAAACAGCTGTTTTTTTATTTTAAAATTGTTCTGTGTATTTCTTATGGGGAAAACCCGACCTTTGAGAGGGTCTCACGCCCTTAAGAGTAGGAATTTTAAAACTTTAAAACCTTATTGCAAAACTACATATTGAGACGAATATTTTGACACCTTAAACGTTAAAATTGGTCCACAAATAAGGGAGGAGTTGCGTTAACAAAAAACGGCTTCACGTATTATATATATAGATAGATAGATAGATGTAATAACATTTTTAAACCATCATAAAAATTAGAAATAGCAACATAACTATGGATTGTTAACTTATATATCATTTTGTTCAGAATAAGACAAAGAACAATAATATAGGGGGTTTACATGGTTACCAGTAGGCCTACCACAAAAAAATTTTTTTAGTTTTTCCAAATTGTAGGCATTAAAACTTATTAATTTTTTTATAGGTAAATTGTTTTTATATTCCGTCGTATAGGTAAGTGCATGTAAGACTTATCATCATAAGGTAAATTGTAAAGTTGTGGTACATTTTGTGCTGATTCCAAAAATATAAAGTTTACTTATATAGTTTATTTTGTGTATTTTGTTTGATATTATGTCGATCGTACCCCCGAGCTAGTACCAAATAACCATCCAACCCAGATCATGTACAAAACCTTACACCTTAGGCCTATATAATATATAATTCCAGGGTACTCTGGTTTGTATTATTTAACTTATTTATTACAACAGTAGCCCTAAAAAAGGAACAAAACTTTAAAAAAAAAAAAAAAATTATATATAGGCCTACCGTAACACCTGCATTGGCGCCGTATATCTGGCGTTGCCATTTCGGCCACGGCCGTTCGCGCCGTATATCCGGCGTTTGCCGGCGCTAGGGTTAATTTAACTTATAATAACACACAGATTAACTTTTCAGATGGAGCATGTAAGTTATAAAATGTCATTTAGGACATGGTGGAGTAAATTTACTTCCACCATGATTTAGGATATGTTTGCTTGTTCGCGAACTCGTTTGATAAACGTAGGTCTAAAAACACATTTGTACCAAATCAGATCATTTTTGGTCAAGCTATCGCGCTACATTAACTGACACATTTAAGTTAAGTTAGGTATTATGAATTTGTGAATATTGATTGTGTTTTTGGCCTCTCGAGGTCTCAAAACGAAAAAGTAAATCGGTCCCGGGTCTAGGTCTTACCATGTGACCTACGGTAATAGCTTAAAATTGTAAATTTAAAATTCCCATGTTATTCTTATGGACAATAAGTCAACTGTTGTAGTTTGCTTGTTTATGAACATATTTTGATCGAATTTGGAAAATACTTTCATTTCTTACTATACTATTAACATTTTACAAAAAAAAAAAAAACACTTTTTTACCCTCCCTGTTGCAGCAAACCTAAGTACTCGTTAAACTAATTCTATTTAAATAGGAAATAAACGTGATATTTTTATGGAGGCATTTTAGTGTAAATCCAATCAGGTTAATTGAAATTCGCTTAGTCTGCAGGTTTGCTGTGGCGGGGGTATTATACCTATGCAATCTAAAACTTACTACACTAGTCCTATGTAAAGTTGGGTGTAGACCTATACAATTTTCTCCCATCTAAGTTAGTGTTGTATTTATGTCAGCTGCTTATTAGTTTAAATAGTATACCGTAAGTAGGCAAGTATAAGTTAATTAATATTAAGTATTAGTCCAGGCAACGAATGCTAAAAAAAGAGTATAGAGGGAAATGTTTGGAACACAATTTCTGACTTCGTAACTTTGTTTAGTATAGTTAGGAGGTTAACATACCAAAAGTCCCCGCCTCTAGCCCTTGTGCTGTGGGGGAGGGGGGGGGCTTGAAGGTACCATTTTTCGGTTTTTTGCTGATATCTCGGAAACCATGTGTCTAAGCGAAATTATGTTAATATACAAAATGAAAGCTTATTAAATTTCCAGCAAGTTTGTAATTTACTATTTTTCGATACCTTGTATGGTTTTTGCGTTATTTGCCATCAAAAGTTTGTAAATTTGGAAAAATACATTTTTTCCTCATGTTTTTTGTTCTTTTTGACAAGTTGCCTCTTAAACTATGCACCCAAAAAATAAATGCTGGGCATAGGGGTGTAGAAAATTAAATTCCCTTCAATAATATATATGACTTTACTAGTTTACCTCCTTCCGTTCAGATTTTAAAGCAAATTAACCGTCAGTATAAAAAAAATTAATTTTAATTAAAATGTAAGAAAATTAAAATCTAGTGTTTAGCAAGGAATTTGAAGTCTTGCAACAGCTGTTGACTACTTAATATTTCAATTTATCACCTTACACAGTCAACTAATTGGTTGGAACATTCACTATCAAGTAGCTAAGGTGAGTGATGGGCGTCTAAAAAAAGATACCCTATAGAAAATATATACTTGTGGGCTGCCTAACTAGCTTCCTCACACTTGATGATCTAGCTAGACTATTGTTATGGGAAAATATGGTGTTATAACCATGTTTATGCATATAAGAGTGTCTATATGACACTGGAAACCAATCACAACCATAAAATTTAAACAAAGATAAATTACATATTTAAGTGAATTAATATAAAACATTACATCAGTACGTAGCCTAATATTCTATCCCTTGTTATCTTAGTTTAATAAGGACTACCATCCTCATCATTTTTATCCTTTTTTTCTCCATCGGACCTATTTTTGAAATAGGTATACTGTTTTTTTTCATATTCTTAGTCATCTTTCCCAGGAACAACATTTTGGTATTTTTGGCATACTTATTTTAGGCTTGCTTTTTTGCTACCTGATTTTGCACGAGTACAGTTTTATGTGGATAGACAGAAAACAATTTTGAGAATATCCTTCAGTGTAGTTTCATGCTGAGTTGAGTGTGCTCTGCTACTACAGAGTTTTTATTATTCTTTTCCACTCTTACATAAGAGAAGGCAGGTTATTTCCCAGCCACAGCTGAACCTTTTGGAATGTACATGATAGGAAACGATGTTTTAAAGCACCATCAG